TATATGTATAAAAGTATATAGAGCGCTCTATATGTTTATATATAAATATATATAATATATAATTACATATGAAGTAATGACCAGGCTCCGACCAGGCTCCGACCAGGTTCCGACCAGGTTCCGACCAAGTTCCGACCAGGTTCCCACCAGGTTCCGACCGCGTTCCGACCGGGTTCCGACCGGGTTCCGACCGGGTCGGAACCTGGTCGGAACCTAGTCGATTACGTAATGCAATCTCCCACAGCAATGCGTTGCTCGCGCGAAGCAGGCAGTGGCCGAGCCTTGGCACTGGGGCCTGCTGGTCTGAAGTGGAGCGAGCCTTGGATGTACTTGGTGGCCTCGGCCCATGGCGCTCCAGAAACTCCTGCTTTGCATCCATAGGGTTTAGGGTTTAGGGTTTCCCGCCTGCGTTGAACTTCTCCAAGCCTTTCAAGTCCTCACACTCGCGCAAGCCTTTAGTTTTAGCACGGCGGCGCTGTCCAAGCCTCTCGAAGAAGCATTTGTCATGATGGGACGTGCCAAGGAGCCTCCTAAAAAAAAGAAAAACTTTTTCTGCCCAATTTCAGAGACAACGATTCGACGATTCGCGCTTATAACTACGTATAATAGACTTATAACTTATAACTTATATAAATAGCCCTTACCTTCTAACTTATAAATTATAGTTTATAAAGTTATAACTTATAACTTATAACTACTTATAATCCCCAAAAAAACCCAGCCGCCCAACCCCAAGGCTTGTCAGTTGAACTTGATTGTTCTGCGTAAATACACTAAATAATAAACATACAACGGTGCCACCCTACCAGCTCCACTATATCATATCTGCCACGACATAGGTCAAAGATCATCTTCACTACACATGACTGAGCCATATGACAGGACTCGTATCGACTACAAACGATCGGCGATATGGCGATATGCCAGCCGAATAATTTATACCGATACCCCCTAAGCCCCAACTCTTACCCCTAAACCGCCTAAACCCCTAAGCCTGAATCCTAAAAACTGAGCCCTAAGTTTAAACTGTAAACCCCAAACCCCAGAATCCAGATGACCACCATGATGTCTGCGCGCTGTCATCTTTTCACAAAACCATCACTAAACAGCCTGAAGCTCTGCGCCTCATTGTCCGTGGACCAATCATGCTGGCAGCCTTCCACATACCGAATCGCATCCCAGACTGTTGCTTTCCGGCGCGGCTCATCCGAATCTTGCGTCCATTCAGCTGTAGCATCGCCAAGCTCGTCAGCAAATTTGTGCAGCAAGGCGCCGATGTGGTCCTGACAGCACACCAGGAGATTCAACCTATAGTCCGACATCCAACATGTGAAGCAGGACATGTGCATGAAAATACTCTTGCGCAATTGTCCAGGGAGGACTCGTCCAGGCCATCTCGGATATCCTTCCGCAGCATGACGAAGTAAAGACGTGGTCGGTTCTGCGGGGCCGCATACGCCCTGGTCCTCAGCAATAAAAAATAGGAGCCATAGCCCTGAGCCCTAGGCCCAAACCCTAAACCCAGAGCTTGCAAAGCTGTTAACCAATCAGCACAGAATCGAAATATGGAATACACGCATCACGTATCCGGGGATCATTTGCAAGCCCACTTCTTCAGGCAATTTCCCTGAGGAGTCTCCAGGAAGAATGCCCGTGAGCACGAAGTCCAGCGGTGTCTCACAGGGATGGGACGGGTGGATAAGGATAAGTATAAGGATAGGGATCGGGATAGGGCAAACGTCTTCAAACAAGGGATATTGCGATTGTGCTCGGCTTTTCCACACAACAGCCCTGTCACTTGCACAGCGATCGCTTTCATGCTGCACGCTTTTCAGCGGTCTGCCACTTGACCCTACGTCCCAGCTACTTTCCAAAGAACTTGCTACCGCTGAAGGCTCTGAGTGCTCGTGGCCAATCAATTTTCATGATAGTGCATGGAATATGCTGGACAAGATTACAGTACAGTGAATTGTGTGTAGGCCATGTAAGGAGGCTTTGATACTATGGCGAGAAGATCCTTCATTACGGAGCCCTCACTCCCACTCCGCTTGAGTGGCTAGTCTCTAGCCGCTCTTCGAGCGCTTTCACAACATCTGCACAGATCGAACGTACCTCATCGCTGCACCCATCCCCTGCCTGGAGTGCCTTCACAACTTGCAACGAATGAGTGGCTGCCTCCCGGTCCATGCCGTCTATACAATGCACGTGAATGGACACAGGCGCCCGATTCAACTGCGCAGCGTAGGAAAACTTCCAGCTGCCTTTCTTCATGTTACCATTGCATAACATGCACGTGCTCAGTCGCTTGACCTTGCACAGTTCTTGAATTCCTCTGCGTCTATGGAAGCGCGGATTCTGAGCTCCTGCGACTGTGTCCGCGGCAGCGGGCGCTTGTGACTTGCGCTTCTTCTGCAACATGTCACGGGTGTCCGCATCAGATCTCAAAGCTACGCGGTGAATTTCTGATGCCTCTACAAATTCTCTGTTGCACTGCTCTGACATGAGCAATGGGAATGCTTCCGCATGACCGGGCAACCTGGATAACTGGATAACTGGATAACATAGTAAGATAACATAACATAACATAGCATAACATAACATAGCATAACATATGAACTATGAACTATGAATCAAGAATCTTAAAAAGCCTGGAAGCCTTAGGGTTGAAGATTGAGGTTGGGTTTATGGGCAAGGTTAATGTTCCCTCTTGTTACAGCTATTGGTCTATTCCCAGATTGCTGAACCAAGGACCAGCAACGCCGGGGCTTCGTCACCAAACAAAGCCACGAACAGGTCATGTGCGTCATCCTCTGCAGGTAAAGGCAAGGATGCCCCTGCAGGCTGCTCATCAGAACCCGCAGCCGCCTCTGGCACTGCAGAACCAGGAACCGCCTTTGGCACTGATCCTACGCCGGCATGGTCTTTGCCACCTGCACCACCTGCACCATTGACTTTGCCTTTGCGCTCCTTCTCTGCAACTGCGCCCTGCACTTGCAACGATCGCCCAAGGCCAAATGGTAGGCGGGCTGCCCGTCGCGCAGTAACTGCACTTGGGGGCGCCTCCGTCTTTACCCGCTGTCCAATGGTAGAACATTTCGAAGGTTCCACTGGCACACCAATGACCATACCCTCAGGACTCTGACCATCAAAATCCAGAATCTTGGCCTCGTACACGTGGACCTCATCGCAAGCAAAACATGACAGCTAGAGTTAGAGACCCCACTACTAAACCCTGAAATGATACACCCACCCATTAACTACTTGACAATACAATGCGCGGCCTCCGCGACGAAATCTTCCACTGACCTGCCCGCTGAAGTGTGTTCCTGAAGCATGGCCCACACCTTACGATGAGACGTAGAAATCTTCGGACGCCCATTCTCCACAGCGAGGGTCAGCCGATTGCTGGCATGCGCAAAAGCCATGATCACTACCTGAACAACCGGCCGCAAACCAACGCAGCCCACCACAAACCAAGTCGAGGCTTCTGCCGTCTCTGGAGTGAGCCGCACCAGTGTCACGGTCTGGCGCAGACCGGCGGCTGCCAGGATAGAGTCCAGTTGTCTCACCAAGCAGTCCACATGATTGAAAAGCGGGGAGGAGCGGCAAATGCCCGCGCCGGTTGACAAACAAGGCTGCGCATAGCTTGGAAGTCTTGGATTAGCACTGACAGTTCCATCGTACGCAAAGACGTCTCGATAGGCCTCAATGAGCGCTTCACGCTGTTCAGAACTTATGTGCTCTGGCCGCAAAGCACAGACATGGTTGCTCAGCGCCAGTCCTGCTTGCCAGCAAGGATGCTCCGCAATCTTACGAAGGTCCAAGCGTGCATTGTTGAGCCTGTGCACCTGGGACGCACGCAGCCCGTCATTCGTTTCATCTGTTTCTTTTTCGCGCAGCGGCTGGGACATGAGCTCTACACGAGCACGTTGCATGCGGTTGGCCTCTGCTTGAAAGTGCGCTCGTTCATCTGGGGACAGCTCAGACCATTGTTTGCTGATCTGCGCGTGCATAGATGATGCTTCGCCCGACCCAACCTTCGTGCGGCTGAATCGACCCCTCAGGGAACTCTACGCGGGTTAGGGCGGTTAGGGCTTCAGGGTAATCGGGCAAATCGAAAACCCAACAGCATGTGAGATAACTTTCAACAAACATCCGCCTGTTGTGCTGCTGAAAAGCATTGAAGGCACTCACCCTGCGTGTGTTGCTGGAACCCCGCCGCGCATGCCCAGCATGCACAGACCTGGGATCTTGATGCGCAATAGCATTAGATATTCATATTATTCAGAACTACCATATTACTCATATTCAGATTCATATTACATTACAAAATACTAAACTAATTACTAACTGCATAACACAACCCAACCAGAAAGTAAAGCACACTGCACTGCACAACAATCTCTTTGCGCACAAATCACAACAGACCTTTCAGTAGGCCCGTGCGCCGCTTCACATGCCCTTCCGCCGTGATCCCCTTGCGCTTGGGATTCAAGGCGCCCCCAGGCGCAGACGAATCGACTAGCCGAGCGTTCCGGAAAACTTTCCCCACTTTGGCTTTAACTTTTGCAGAACCCAGGACCTCCAGCGTCACAGCATCCAGCGTACTCTTGTGCTCCAGAAAGGCTGTCATAATGTAAGAGTCTCTTTGAAGAGCCAAAGCTCTTTTTACAGAGGATCTCCGCACATCTCCGTCCACCTGGAGATTTGCGTGGTTCTTCTCGATTTCCACAGATGAAGCCGGCCCCTGCATCACTGTATCCTTGATGCAAAGGCGTACCGATTGGTAACGCTGCAGTCGAGTCTGCTGATCAATGTTCGGCGCAAACAGGTAGTCATAGAACACCTTAGAATCAGAACAAAAATCATCCCGACAACTCAGTACTGGATGGAATGAGAAATTGCATTTGAAAACTAGCTACAGAGAATGGCGTGATCTGCTAGTTCAAGCACCTTTGCAAAGAAGTGGTCTTCGCACAGGTCGCAGCCTGAAACCTTGTGAAACTCTCGCCAAAATAGCTCCAACCCTTGCTCAGCATCCATATCTGCCAGAGACAACACGCTGTAGGTGATGTTCTCGTACGGCAGCACCAAGCGTCTCCAAGCGTCGCACATGCTGGCCAAGACAAGATGAACGCAAGGGGCATATGGCACCGCGTACTGCGGGTGCCAGATAGGATCGGAACGGGGATCAACGACCAAGAGTTGGTAGGACTTGTCTATGACCTCCCATCCCGCCCGTCCTTGCAAAATATCCAAGTTCATCCTTGTCAAGTCTGCTTCCGAAAACCGGCACGTGCTATGCGGAAGCAGAAGCCCCTGCAACCGCAAGCGCACACGCTGTCGCACAGTCTCGACCAAGCTCACCTGATCCATGAAAGACGAGAGGGGTCTCGTCAGGATTGCACACTGCGCCAGACGTTCCTTAGTGGACAGAAGACAGAAGAGATTCTACTTCACCGCATTTATTGTGCGTTACATAATCACTGAAATCATCCCGCGAAAACACAATGCGCTGGAGCAACCTGAGTTCCTTAATGTCTGCCTCGTTCAACAACCGCAGAACCTTACCCATTCGAACTTGCTGCTGTAACGATGGTGGCAAATCCGGGTTGTCGATCTCGAGAAGGTGCTCAGTCAATAGCTCATTGTCAGCAGTTTGAGTCATGCAAGCAGACCATACAAATGGCAGGAGATTATGGATGGCGATATTCCGGAGAGTGTAGCAGAGAGCACCTTCAAAGTGTTTCGACCTATATAACAAAGGGACTGCAAAAAGCCTAGCCAGGCTGAAGCCCAGCGCAGAACGCAGCCGCCTTTTTGTGACCAATTCATCACTACAACAGCCGGGCGGACACCAATGCTGAAGTATACCATCAGTGCAGGGACTCTCCCAAGAATCGTTCAGGATTCCTAGCAACTCCACCTGTTCCTCCTCAGACAAGTCTGCGTTGCACAGGCCAAGCAAAGATGTATTCTTGCGAATATGTTCCTGTACAGTGGTTGGCATCGTTGCCACCGGCCGGCGTACCACCTTGGAAGCGAGCAAATCCAGCGTGCTGTCCATCCGCTGCCTAAATAGCGTCGCTTGCGCAGAATGCGCCATCCTCACCAGTCCTGCAGCGCGACATGAAGAAGGCTCAGAAGGGTGCATGATGCATTCAGATCCCTTTTGATTCATACTGCCATAGCCGATAGTGAATAAATCAAAGATTCCGAAGATTCCACTCAGACCCCGCATCTATCCTGTCGCTACACCATCAGCAGCCAAAATGATTGGCTTCTTGGCAAGGGAAGCTTGATGGTGAGCGCAATAGAGATTGAGCAGGGCCAATGTGCCATCCGCATTCTGTTTGAAGCTCTTCTGGTCCAACGCCGCACAGCACAGGTTCGCTGGCAAAGAGTCAGTACCTGCGTAACACCATGTTTTTCACAGTAAGGTAAACCATTGCCGTGTCACTTGGTAAGTTTGTGCTACTTCGGACAGCTCAGGCTGGCGCAAGATATCAAGACTTTCAGTGGTATAGAAGCCCACGCCCTGTCCATTTCCTCGCCCCCCATTTGTGCAGACTGCTTCTGGCAAGTCAGGCACGACCATCGCATCAATCTGTCATAGATTGTTTGCGTATTTGCCTGCACGAGCACATCATGGGAGTACTATCGAATGATATCATGATATCACTGACACACGGACTCAAATGGTGACTGCATGTGACCGCGCCTTAGGCAACACCTGTGCTGGCGTGTGAACTCGGGCAAATTTCAAGGTGCCTTCTGCTTGCTCTTCGTGACAGGATCTAACAAGGATGTTCTGCAGCATTCCAAGCAACGGGCTTACCTTACGTTTGCCTTGTCTGCCAACGCCGCCACCCTTTGTACCTTGAGCAGCTTTGCAATCTTCTTTACCAGCTTGCTCAGGGGCTTGCTCACCTTCTTGTGGTGCAATACGCTTTGATGGCACTGTCCACACATTCGTGTCGTCAAAAACTCTCGTCACTATTGCATGACGTGGGCGCGGCGCGGCTTCGATGCCTGAACCAAGCCAGGACAGCAGTGCCCGCTGTTGGGCGAACCAATGACTGATGACCCCTTTCTCTTGGATGTGCTGAAGACTGTGATCTCCACGACGATAACTCTGAAAAACATCCGTGTTGCCATCTGCGGACTGGTAATGGCCGAATTCTTGCCTCAGAACTGCGCCCAACAAAACATCCATCCCAATCCATCCCTTGTTACTAAACCTAAGCAGTTAATTAGCTAGGTCTTGTTTCAAAATGCGCGAAGCATACTTGTTTAAATATTTAGTACTACTGTACTAGAAAAAATGATTGAGGGCCCACATTTAGGGTACATTGACTTTGGCGTATGCAAGTTGCACTGCCCGTGATACGGAGGAATTTCTGCCGCGGCTGAGCACACTAAAGGCGATCCGGGCCACGTCTTGATTCTCCGAATTTGCCACCTGCTGCAAAGAAGCTGCAGAGGCCACCTGCCGGTTGGCAAGGCCTATGCGAACCAGTGCACTGTGAGCACGTCCACAGGAAAAGTTTCCAGCACGCTTTTCACGCGCTGTACCAGCTGAGTGCCCGCCCAATCCTGGGCTAGCCTGCTGATCAAGCCCCCGCTGCATCAAACCTGTGTACAATCCCCGAAGCACAGACATGACAGAAGGCGCTCACGCGAGATGCACCTTGAAAGGTGAAAGGAAGGCTGCTAATCTTGTTGTGTTATGCAATGCAAGAAACAGAAATGCAAATGCTGAAATGCTGCACTACTTGTAACATATGATGTCCTTGTCATGTCACTGTCTCATTCAATTTCCACAAACCCTGCGAACTAGGGAACATCTCGAGCCTGCGCACAATAAGAACAAAGTAGTTTGTGGTGAGCTGGCGATCCTTGCAAGACAACTCACAAACTTGCCTGGTACTCATCTTGCTCGTGGGTATGGCTGGCCCGTTTGGTCATGCCTTCCACGTTCTCGAGGATACACAGCCTCAGATCAGCTCCCGTATCATATCTCGTCTACTACTTGGACAGAGCTCGGGCAGCAAAACCAACACAAAACAACACCCAAGCCGAGTCAAGGAGCTTCGGCCTGTACGCTCGGATAAAGCGCGAGGTTTCCAAGAATGGAAGAGCTTTCTTGGCCTTAGATCTTAGATCACTTAGACTTAGATCAGATCTGATAGCTAGGTCGCAATTCGAGATCCTGCTTGCGCAGCATGCAGAGACGAGACGTTAACATTGCTGTCGAGCAGCAGTCTCGCCGGAGGCATTGAAAATCTTTGTCACATTTGTTGCACCAAACCGAGTATTGGATTCTTGGCTAAACAGTTTACAGACGAACCCGCTGACGTAGATGTCAAGCTCCAGCTGCTCCTGCTCGTGCTCAGGCGCATGACTATGACTATTACTATAAGTCGAAAAGTCAGAGTTCCATTGCCTGGGGAAGAGCAGCGCAATTGCGACCATGCTTAGCGCATCGTCCTCCCATCCTGCCAAATTCTACACCATATCTTTTGCTGAGCAGCTCAAAGGAAAATCACACGCTGCCTCGAGAACTGCATGTCGACCCAGCAATGATCTACGTCATGGTTCTGCAGGAACCATCGGCGCGTTGGCCCCTCCGCACAGCAAAACCACGACGACATGCACACTCAGAGTAAAACAATGATTTTTCGTGCAGTCCAGTTACATGACATTCAGATGAGATCATCTCCCGGAAGTTGCCCTTGCCCAGAAGATAGGACAACACATGAGACGGTGCTCCGGTACATGAGCAAGCGGTCGCCAGTGCCTTGTGTCCCCAAAACTGATACACTGCGTTCCCAAAAACAAACTTGCTTGCTGGACTGCCGATGCTTGAACGAATTGAATCACATGCAGCTCGATTGCCAACGGTACGTCTAATAGACTCTGAAAGGATTCAAGGCTTGCTCCCGCCGCTCTACAGAAATGAGGCGCCCAACATACATAAGGCGGAGCATCTCGCACCATCTGATCTGGCTCCTCCGCGATAATGTCCCGATTTAAAGACCTCGATCGGCTCCGAGACCTCGATCGGCTTCGAGACCTCGATCGACTTCGAGATCTCGATCGACTCCGAGATCTTGATCGCCTGCAGAAATTTGACACGGATGACTTGAGCTCAAAAAAATCATACAATCCAAAATTATCTTGGTTGTCTTTTCAACGAAAGCAACTACTGCAACCTAGATGCTCCTCATCTTCCTCTTCTGCGCCCCTTGTTGAAGACGATGACCTGAGCTCAATCGATCCTACACCCAAAATGAACCAATTAATCTCGCCACTACTTCGGAACAGTCAAGCAAGAGCATTTGCAATCTAGAAGCTCCCCAGGTCCAGGTACAGGATCACGTTTGTACAAGCGAGCCCAATCCATGCCAAAGCGAAAGGACACTCCAAATGTTGCTGCGAGTGATTTCTACGTCATGTGGCATGTGTTCGCAGATTTTTGTACATAACATAACTTCAACCACGGGAATGCTTGTAGTCCTTGATTCAGGATGCGATGCCTAAGCGGCATTAAGCCGGTTGAGCAGTCACCTTCATTGCGCCCACAACTCAAGCACTCTAAGATTCGAGACCTTAGCACGCCGTAACACACAAGCTCTTACTCAAACTTCTCCTGGCAAATAATTGGACGGTTGCTGGTGCTACTGCGCCCGAACGTTTGACACCTGA